TTGTAGTTCTTTCTTCTTCCCTTCCTCTACACTACAAGTTTCGGCCCTAAATGGCCATCATCATGTGTGTATTCTTACGTAGCTGCTACACTGCCGGTAGTTTAAAATTTAAAATCACCAGTCTTTCCAATTGTATGTATGTATAAAATCTTTGTTAACCTACACGCGTCAATTTGATTTCTAAAATTGGCACTTTTTTAAAACTTCAATTCAAAATAAATGTCTATAAATTTTCTTTTCTTTTTCTTTTTCCAAATTTTTAAAAAATTTCTCGGGGTACACGCCCTATGTCTATAGTGCTGCAGCGGCCACTTCTTGTTTTATCGCTGTTCAGGTACTGTTCTGTGTAGGCTCTCTGTGTGTGTGTCGCTGCTTATCTTTAATACGTGCACTTAAGACGGAATTTATCTCATATATATACAAAAGAAATTTAGTACATCACGAAGTGTGTCAATTAGCAGACATGTTCCTAACCAGAACTGCTAACTTCGGACTGGACACTGACCGGTGTGACTTGTCGATGATATACAAATATTAATTCATGAATAATTAAGTGATATATGAGCCGTTTTCATTAGAACAGAACTGAACCGGTTAAAAATTAGAGACTTGTTTTTTAATAATCTTGTAAAGTCAGCTGACGTTAAAAGTTCTATTAAACTTGATGCTGGTCAAAGGAAAAGGGAAAAAGACACGATAAATTTATGCTCTCACATAATATTTTAATTCATTCAGCATCCGAAACCACAGTTACGCCATCATACCCTGCTCTCTTAGTCTAAAATTGTCAGATGCAGGTTATCGTCAATATACACGTAATTGTAACTCATGAAAAAATGTCAAATGCAATACAACTCCTATAGACTAGGTAAGCCAGCACAGTTCATGACTACGTCCTTACCGAACAGGCTGGTTTAACGGTAACACCCTGGACTCGTGTTCGGAAATATTTGATTTGAGTCCAGGTCGGGAGAAAGGCAATCCTGACTACAGTTTTCGTGATTATCCTCAGTCCCTCCAGGCCCACTAAACTGTTACAAAAACCTCTTGTACAGCTGTTATGTCACCTTTTTGGGCAAAATATTAAATCACCACGAAAGAATTAATTAATAAGCTAATTTTGCGAGTACTTCAATATGAGTGGTACTTCGCGGTATGCAATGGATATTGAACTCGTATGGACTCTGCCGTATTGTTGTACAAGACAAAAACAATTACACGCCATTCTAGCAATTCAAATAGTGTCCTTAAACGTCGAAAACAAACAGATTTGAGGAACCTGAAGGCGTAGCGTGAGCCAGTTACATCCGGTTCGCAGCCTCGCAGCCTACATTCCTCGGTTCCATATTAGAGCCATTCTTCTATCCTCTTCTCGGAATTCTAAGTATCTGTTTTCCAAGAGGGATTTCCCACCCAAATTCTATCTCAAGCTGCATAGGATTTCGAGAACTTCGAAAGCAGAAAAGACCGGTGTTTAAATATTTAACCACGATCAAGTGCCTCTTACAGAAGAGTATGCAGGAATGTAGGTAGGATCCTGACCCGGGTTCTCACTCAGGAGATGGAAGGCTTTGCTGTTATTCTGTGTGCTCCTTGTGCAACTTTGCAGCAAACATCCAGCTTTTATCAATTTTATTCCTTAGGTTTAGCTATTTCTGTTTTTTTTTTAATTTGTAGGCCCAACTAATAAAGGTCTTTGAATTTGGATCTTATGCTCAACAAATGGTAAGGAAAATGATGAATATCCCTGAATTTGAAGAAAGCAGTCTTCTGGGATTTGGCACCGTGTATATGTGGTGTTAACCGACGTTTCGGAGGAACGTATCGCCTCCATCTTCAGGGTAGAAGAAAAAATATAAGAAATCTGCAAGCGAAGAGACCGTGAGAACCGGTAAAAGCAGACTCAGTCCCAGAAGACTGCTTTCTTCATAGTCACCGCCGTGAAAGCCTCAAATCTTACATCCCTGAATTTGTTTAAACTGCCTTCAACTTGAATATGAATCACTATTTTTATGGATTATCAGGCAGCGGTATGTAGGCTCTATTATTGATGTCCAAGGTAATTTCTGTACTCTAACACAATGTTAGCGATTAGTGTATGCACATTACAATTTCAGCCGTCGATCTACGAATGTATACATAATATTAGTCATCTTAAACTCCTAACCAATAATTTTAGTCCTGTGGTAATAAAGTATATATTCACGTACTTATGATATACAATGCATGTAGGGTATATAACAAGTATTTTGAATTGTTTCATTTTGGTCCGTTACACTATCAATCACCAACTACCAATAAAACCTCCGTCGAGTGTAACAATATATATTCTTGTCACCATTTCCTCACATTTGCCTTACATGTTTCGGCTCACAAAGAGCCATCATCAGAGGCATCCACAACAAAAGTATGGAAACACTTGCACTGCTCAACAATCACAATATACAGTTTTTTATGGAAGATGTTACACGTATCGGAGCGTAAAACACAACAACATCTAGTACCCCGAGTGCGGGTATCCCACTTGCATTTAAAAAATCACCCACAAAGCGGGTCGTTAATGTTAAAATTAAAGTTAAAACCGTCCAAGTAAAATATTCAGGTTCCTCTTAGTGGATTGTCCCAATGGGGGAGGCGTCAGCACGAGGTTGCGTGGGCTTGTGGTCGGCTGTGTCCGACGCGTAGTGTATTGTGTAGTGCCAGAAGACAGACACTGTAAGACAGAAAATACATGAATTTAACCATCAAATACTTGCCACATACATCCAAAAAACCCATAAAATTTGAATGATACAATTTAAAACTCAGTTAATTACATTTAAGATAATTTCGGACATAACTAATTTAATGATGAGTGTAGACGAGAAACATCGAAGAGGAATTTTTCTATATTTACATGAAGGGCACGACGGAAATTTGAAAAATTCAGACAGCGTCCCAGATTGTTCGTGTGTTTGGTAATCTAACATGTTAAAATTGTAGACTATCGCTTAATTCATAGATTCAGAGATGACTTTGCCCAATTCCCGACCTTATAAACTGTGATAATGAAAAAGAACATTTATCCTGAGGTTGTCATTTAGCTCAGGTAATTATTAATGCAGTATTTTAAAAGAAACTAGCATATTAAACAAAGTTAATGTAAAACACAAGAGGAAAGAATATTCAAATTTGAATTACACAGTATAATACAGTATTCTGGAATTTCTGTGTGAGTTTTCTAGGCAGAGTTTTTCTGAATAGAATTTCGGCCTTATGGGTCGTCCCGACTTTACAGGAGAAGCATCTAATTCTTCCATCTGATTGCACACATCGAAATGATCTAAATTTAGAATCGTCCACTGAGAATCGATCGCACAGTACTTAAGCAGGCTGGTTGCATGCTGATTCATTTAATAATGTTACCCAACTGCTTAAGTTTTACAGAGTCCAATGGTGAGATAACTGTAAATGATCAACGAGAAATAGTGTGGAGCGTAGCGGTCATGACTTATTTAATATCCTATTGCACCATTTGGCAGTACTGATCAAAACCCGCGGGAAACAGGAGGTCTTACGTTAACGGTTTCGAAACCGGGATTTCCGGAATAGGAAGGAAAAATGCTAGTCGCTGGACAGCAATATTTAAAATGTCTTACAAAAATAAGGCTTTACCTCCTCCACACAATTTCAATAGCGATGCTTGATGGTTACAAATAGGAAGGAAATAAATCACTGTAAAGTTTCTAAACACATTTTTTTATGCTAGTGGGGTGGAACTAAGTCCCTTGTACTACGGCCACTTCTGGCCTATTGTACCAGCCCCAGATGATAGGTGAGGGTGATTGTGGAGCAATTGGTGGAATGAAGATTGGCAAGGGAAACCGAAGTACTCGGAGCAAACTTGCCCCAGCGCCACTTTGTCCACCACAAATCCCACTTATCAGACCCGGGATTGAACCCGGGCCGCCGTGGCGGGAAGGCAGCAACTAACCGCTTGAGCTATGGCGCGTTTCTAAATACTTTAATGAATACTACCTGTCTCTGAACTAGAAAGTTTCCGTCAGCAATAACGTTATTTTAATAACAATAGAAAAACTGCAAGCAAAGGGACTGCATAGAAACATCTCACTGAATACAGGACACAGTTTATTGTCATAATCATCATTCTGTCAGGCACCAGGCAATGACATATTTCGGTTTAATATCATCTCTTCGGCAGTGTCACACTGTAGCAGTTTACATCTCAAGAAAACTGCAATGATAACCTACACGTGGCGATTAGTTACACAGAATGATCTGCTAGGTATAAAACACTATATCTTTTGACACAACCATAATACAGGAGTTGCTGCTACAAAGGATGCGCTTTTGTTGTTCTGTTTTAATGGGTTTCTTTTTTTCATTTTTGAGTCAGATAAAAGAATTACTACCGTACATAACTAACTTAAATTCAACTTTTGTGGAACAATTTTTAAGAGAAATTTTCAAAAAGTTTAGAGTAAATATTAATTACAATTTAAAATATTGGAATTCGAATAAATTAAATTGATTCAAATTCAGTTTTTTCCAGAAGTCTCCATATCCCTGTATTTTCGAGTGCATTTTAGTCTGGAATATAATGCAAATGCTTGTCACCCGATGCATAACTCGAAATAGAACTTGCTATGGACATTGGGTAGTCACTGTTCGTAGCATCTTACAACTTCCACCATGACTCCAACAAATTTCGATTCCTTTATTAATACAATGACGCTTTTGCAACTGCATACAGTTGAGTGGGTGTGTATTTGTGAATGATGAATTAGTAAAGACGTGGAAGGATGTGGTAGGGATCTGTTGTAAGACGCTTTTCATATGTTTATCCGGAGCGACTAAGGTAGTCGCCAAAGTAAAGATAACTATTTCCCAGGGCGTAAATCGAACCTGCGGTCTTCCGAATACGAGTGATGAGTTTTTCGATTCAACTACAATGTATAGTATCCAGCACAGTAATAACATAAAATTTTCTGTATTTACAGAATTTAATCCAAAATGATCAGTTAACCCGCGATTTAGCCCATGGCTGCAGAATCTGACGGAGTATTTGGAATGGTGCCGGGTTCAGAAGATGAACAACCTATGGACTTGAGCCGAGCATCTCGAAAATCAACACGCCTTATGCCGCCCCTTATCCCGATTAGTCTTCTTCGTTCTGGCTGTCACCACAGACGTTTCGTAAGAAGAGACACTGCAGGCACGAAGCGCGTTGCCATAGCTCAGCAAATGTCTGTAGTGAAAAGTGAGTCAGAGGAAATAGTGCCAGAAAAACTCAAACATAATGCTAAAGATTATGACTGGACAGAGACCCAGGATTCTCCGAAACGCAGTCGGTTATGCAGTGAAAATGGCTGGGTGGGCCCCGCGCGACTGGATCGCGCGAGAAGTGTACCTCAGTTAACTCCACTCCCGTCACTCCAGCGACATAAATCTTTGAGTGAATCTCGCATCCCGGTCGCTGCGGCAGAAGCTGAAGCCAAGGCAAATGCCGGCGAGGAAGCCTTCCCTAGCTGGGGAGCAGATAGTCCCAGTGAACATCTCAGTGAAGAAGATCTACGGCAAAGACTTCAGTTCGCTGATAACGACGCACTTCTCAAATCCTCCTGGATCTACATTGGTTACTACTCACAAATGCTGCATCGCTTCCAGGCGCAGGAACTTCTGCGTCAGCTCGCCCTGCAGCATCAGCGAGATAGCCCAGACGAGCAGGTAAGGGCGATATTCCTATAATTCATAATAAAATGTTTCATGTTTCGTGATAACTTCGTCAAGGTTTAGAAACTACTGAAATGTGATTCCTAAATTATTATCAGCACTTTGTATAAAATAAGAAAACAGTGGAGGCATAGAGCCTCTCTATCCTCATGTTTCATAACAGTAGTTACGTCAAATTTTATATTGGGGATCAATAAGTTTGTCCAGAGGATTTAATTTTGATGCTTATCGGTCATTTGAAATCTGTACTTTAAACGAAACCAAATTACATTTAATTAAATTTCTGAAGCAGTAAATCAAATTAATTCCATGAAGCAGGGTCCTTATTTGGAAACTAATAATTCCTCAGCTTCACAGATAATTCTCGTCTTTTAATGGAACCCGAAGATTAATTGACCTTCCGCTGGTTCTCGACCTCATTACCACGAATCCAGTCCACACCCTCACACACAGTTTTTTAAAAATACAAACTCTATTTACTATTCTCCATGGGCCATGGCCATAGCTCAAGCGTTTAGTCGCTGGCTTCCCACCGCGGCGGCCCGGATTCAATCCCGGGGTCTGGTCAAGTGGGATTTGTGGTGCACAAAGTGGCGCTGGGGCGGGTTTTCTCCTAGTACTTCGGTTTCCCCTGCCAATGTTCATTCCACCAATTGCTCCATCATCATAATCACCCGGGGCAGGTACAATAGGCCAATCACTGGCCGCCGTGCCGAATGGACCCAGTTGGACTCCACCTCCCACTAAGCGAATATTTTACTATTCTCCATCTCCGCCTGCCTCTCGTAAGTGGCCTCTATCAGCAAGACTGTACGCGCAAAGTACAGTCTAAAACTTCAAAATGGAACATTTCGTTATAGTGACTGCTTACCGAATGAAAGGCAAATGCATGTCTCTGTGTGGAGATACACATAATAGGATCTGGTGTAAAATTTTATGGGAGGTGGCGTCATGAAACCCGATAGAATTTCACCGACATTTCGGAGGACCACACTGCCTCCACCTTCAGAATTTAAGAGTAAAATAAGCAACCTATGCTTTCCTGGCTATTCCTGGATACTTGCTTGGCTTATTTTCCGGTTCTGAAGATAGAGGCAGTGTGTTTCTACGAAACCTCCGTAAACTTCTACCGGACTACGCGGCCTTCCATCCCAGAAGATGGTTCTTATCATAGTTACCGCTGTGAGAACCTCATGTCCAACAATTTGTGTCTACAATTAAAAACACAAGACCAATTAGACACAAAAACGTGAAGGATATATTTAAAAAAATATATTCCAAGGAATATATTTTCAATATCCCTTAATCGTTCTCTGTTTTAAATATATGTAATGTGCTATGATTCCCAATAAATGTTCTGGATACTTTCTGTGTTATCAAAATATCTATTTTTATGCGAAAAATTCTATCAAATATTTTCCCAGAAATGTTAATCCCGTACGTAGACTAAGATATGAGAATCCTCAGTGCTAATCGGCCTTAATCATTTTAAGACTGAATTCTTCAATGCAACATATAGGAATGCATTTCGTACATCGCAGGAAACTCATTACGTCTCCGCTACAAAATCGCCTTTTAATTTTTGTTTAAGGAAATAATCGTTGTTTGTCCTGAGAATCATATGATAAACATACAGTACATGCCCTCTGTGGGAAGAGTGTGAAGTTTCAGTACGTTAAAGCAACTAATACATAAAGTAACCGCTGGGCCTTAGAAGTTCAATAGACCAACTACCAATCAGATATTCTGATTTCTGATATACAGATGAAAGAAATAGGTGTATAATAGGACATTGTATCAATTTTTTATGTACTCTGGAAGGATTTGAACTGAGGCTAGCAAGCTAGGAGTTTGGTTTAGAAGAAATCTTTCAGATAACTGTGTTAAGTCATTAGAATGATGGATGCCATCCTAACACACCTATTAAACTATCGAATGTAGCTTTTTGGAATGTGGCAAACTTAAAATATTTCAGAACGAGTAGAGTAGCAAAGCAAAATTATATTGCGTAAGGGTATTGCCAGGCTTTTAGCCTGAAGGTGCTGGAAGAAACTCCTGAACTCCTCATTAAGCAGCACAAACTGATTAACACTTTCTTCCACATTGCACTTTCTGCAACAAATAATATGCTGTTTGTTGGTATAATTTTTTGCGATTAATTTTCCTCTTTGTTTCTAGAGTCCAATATAATTTGTATTGCATTTTGGCAGACACACCATTTTTTAACATGCCACATTTTTCTCTTCACATAATTTCCCAGAAATGTTGGGGCAATTGTATTTTTGAAAAGATAATTACGTACAAAACCATTTTCACAAGAACTCCATTCTTAGCCACATAAATAGATGAGATATTATTTTCTCCTAGTTGTTTTTACCTGCCACGGAAGACAGCAATGGTTATTTTTAAAAAGAGATATGTTAATCGTCGATCAGTAGACGGTTAAAATAAGGAATGATCACTTTAAAAAGGTAAGTCATCCGATATGTGATGTAAGACTAGAGATATGGCTGCTGAGAATTGCATACCCGTCAGAGCAATGTTGCAGATTTTGCTCCTACTCATCGGTGCCACAGAGCGTTGACCTCTCGCAGCGCTACCTTAAAACATTATACTGTTATTTTCACACAAGCTCAACAGTTTTGCATTACCGCTCTTCCAAGGCAAACAGAACTGTCGTCGTTTCAGTTCTCTGCAAAGTTTTCCGTTCGAACATGTAGAAACTACTCTAATATATGCCTATAGCAGTTGGGTAACCGGATTTAACATCAGAGAAACAACTCTCAAGGGAAATAAGCAAACAAAGGGAACAGAAAAACTGGTGTTTAATAATATCAGTGTCACGGTAGCCGAGCGGTCTAAGGCATTTACTGTCTTCGCTGGCTTGGAAACCGGGATTGTGGGTTCGAATCCCACTCAGGGCATGGATGTTTAGTTTGTGTGTGTGTGCGCGTTTTTCTGTGTTTGTGTACAGGCAGAAGCCTTGCGACGAGCTGATCACCCGCCCAAGGAGTCCTACCGAATGTGTAAGATCTAGAAAACCGAAGTGAACGGAGAAGTTCATGGAGGTAGGCCTAGGCCCCCTGGGGCTGTAGTGCCAAGGGAAAAAATTTATCAGTGTTTCTGATATTCTTTCAGGTTAACTTAGTCCACTGAGTAATCTTTAATAATTATGTCATTCTATCACGTAACAATGGTAGAAATTTTCATTCCATACAAAATATAAATTAATCAGAAATATGCCAAGCTACTTTTTATCCCATACTAACTGTAAATAAATTAGAAACTTATTAGATTATTTTTATACACTGAGACGTCAAATGCAGGTGGGGCCCGGCACCATCGACCCATGGAAACAGGTCGCCCCTAAATTCTACAGTATTTTTTCCCTCTAAATTCTATCCTCATGTCTTAACAGTTGTACCATGTTCTTATTGTCTGTGTTTATCTTCTGCCTAAGACCACAAGCGCTTAAATAGGAAAGGCAGAGGTAAACCAATATAAACCACAAGGAGATGCTCGAAAGGAAGCAAACGCTGCTAGCGAGGAGCTGAGAAAGTAAACCAACACGCACCACAAAGAGATGGGAAAAAATGAGCAGGTGTTCAAGACATGGTAAAGGGGATTACAAGAACCTGCATATAGTGGAAGTAAATAAACTACAAAACTGAACACAACATACGGAAAAGGATCTGTGAAAAATGAAGAAGGACAAAGTATTTTAATACAAAATTTATAATCGAGATGTAAGAAGTCTTTAAAAAATCTGTGAGTAGAGAATGACAGTTTTAGAAGCAAGGATGATTCATGAAAATTTCGGGGAGACTCCTGAGGATACGTTGTGAAGCTAAAAATATAAACAAACAGTCCCCCATTTCGCTACTGTTTAAGAGTTGTGGCGTTTCAAATTTACATTCTTGATGTTCTTGTAAATTTGTGTGATGGAGCCTTCATGACGTCACTAGGCGGAACTACACATATAATAGCATTCGCTTACGTATCACATTGCTTCTAACGGCAAAGTAGTGATAACAGCGAAACAAGTTGACACAGTTCTTAATGCTGAGTATGCCCGTCCTCGTATGTACTTCAGATTTCAAGGAACCGGAGAGGCATATATTTGCACGCCACTGCAACCTGAAGCAAATAGACCCATTCATGACACTAGCACACTTTGGCCTAGTCCTTAACACTCGAGAGGGCGCGTGATTTCACCGTGACGGCATCCCTTCTCACTGTTCAGACGAAGTGCGTAATTGGTTGACCAATTCTTCGGGCACATGGAACGGTCCTGGAAGCCCGATTGTAACATAATATTTCTTGTTATGAGCTGCTTGCGCGTTCCCACTACACGGTCGAACGGTTACGTTCAGTTTAGTGTGAAGTTTACACTGAAAGAAGCAATAACATCATGATCTTTTTCCACTAGCTCTACAGCCCCCTTGGGCCCTGGACTCTGATTTTTTCAGTTTTCATGATCACTTTACAGACGGTAGAACTTTGGACGAGTGACCTAAACACATGTTAACACAAACACAGAATAAACGCATGCATACACAATTTTCTTTTAATTCTCTTAGTTGGGGGTGGAGTTCAGCTGGGTCCACTCGGCATGGCGGCTACTGATTTGCCTATTGTACCTGTCCCGGGTGATTATGATGATGGACAATTTGGTGGAATGAAGATTGACAGGGGAAACCGAAGTACTCGGAGAAAACCCGCCCCAGTGCCACTTTGTCCACCACAAATCCCACCTGACCAGACCCGGGATCGAACCCGGGCCGCCCCGGTGGGAATCCGGCGACTAACCGCTTGAGTTATGGCGCGGCCACACACATACCAAACATCCATGCCTTGTGTGGGATTCAAACCCACGATCCCGGCTTCCGAGAGAGCGAAGACAGTGCATGCCTTAGACTCCTTGGTTACCGTGACCGGCAATATCATCATAATCTTTTTTTTTAACTTATTGTAATTAAAAGTAACAAATACAG